GGCCGTGGACCCCTTGGTTCCGCGAACTGCTCGAGCGAGAAGGCCGAGGCCGGCAGTTCCAGTTCACCCTGGGCCAACACGCTGCCGAGGTACCCACGCCCTTCTGGCCTCCTGCGGAGGGGAAGGCCTCAACCGCCCGACCCGCGTGGTGGTCCACTGCGGTGGTGCCCCCCCGCCGCGCTCACCCCCTGCACGCCGCTCCAGCCCGCCTCGCACCGTTCACGCCCCTGCCACCCGCTCACTGCCCCGCCCACGCCGCCCTGCGCCCCAACCTCGCCCTGCCTCCTTGCCCGCCCGGCCGCGGCCCTCCCGTGCCTCCCCATGTCCCTGCACCCGCGCCCCCTTCTGCCCCCCCCCGTGCGCCCCGCCCGCACCCCTGCACCTGTCCGCCTCCCGGCCGCCGTGCTCGCCGCCCCTTGCGCCCCCCCCGTGGCCCCGCCCGGACCCACCCATGCACCTGGTCTCGCCTCCCCGTGCCCCGCCCGCGCTCCGCTCACCCGCTGTCCCGCCCGCAGCGCTGGCGTGGGCCGCACGGGCTGCTTCATCGTCATCGACGCCATGCTGGAGCGCATCAAGCCCGAGAAGACGGTGGACGTGTACGGGCACGTGACGCTGATGCGCTCGCAGCGCAACTACATGGTGCAGACGGAGGACCAGTACAGCTTCATCCACGAGGCCCTGCTGGAGGCCGTGGGCTGCGGCAACACCGAGGTGCCCGCGCGCAGCCTGTACGCCTACATCCAGAAGCTGGCGCAGGTGGAGCCCGGCGAGCACGTCACCGGCATGGAGCTCGAGTTCAAGGTGCCGGCGCGGGCGGGAGGCGCGGGCGGGCGGGAAGGGCGGAGGCGGCGGCCCCAAGCGCAGGGGACGCGCTCCGGCCACTGCCCCGCCCTCCCAGCCCAACGGTGGCCCCCTCGTCCCCGCAGCGGCTGGCCAACTCCAAGGCCCACACGTCGCGCTTCATCAGTGCCAACCTGCCTTGTAACAAGTTCAAGAACCGCCTGGTGAACATCATGCCCTACGAGAGCACGCGGGTCTGTCTGCAGCCCATCCGGGGCGTGGAGGGCTCCGACTACATCAACGCCAGCTTCATCGACGGCTACAGGTGCCCTGCCCGGCCGCTCGGGGCTCCGGGGGGGCCCCGCCCCTGCTCCCGCGAGACAGCCAGCCTTGGGGGAGACAGAGCTGGAGAGACACCAGCACGGACGGCCCCAAGCAGTCAGGGAAATCTTTAGACGTGTATTTAACTGATGGCTGCTGTCCATGGCGTGGTTCCATGTGTCCTTGAATATCAGCGTTTCTCAACTGGGGCAGGTCAACTCCGGGAGGGTATTTGGTGTCTGGGGACATTCTCGACTGTCACAAGGGCAGTTGGAGGGAGGACTGGAAGACGGGTGTTGGGGACAGTTCTGCCCGTCGGTCACGGATCGCGTCCCGGCGGAACGGACCGTCGGAGGGGCTGGGCGGCGGCTGCGCGTGGGGAGGGCGAGGTACGCGCGGCGCCGAGGCAGCAGAAGGCCTACATCGCGACGCAGGGGCCGCTGGCGGAGACCACGGAGGACTTCTGGCGCATGCTGTGGGAGAACAACTCCACCATCGTGGTGATGCTCACCAAGCTGCGGGAGTGCCGGGTGGAGCGGCGGCCGGGCGGCGGGGCGCGGGGGCGCGCTGGTGGGCGGCGAGCGGGACCGCGGGCGCCGCGGCGCGGCGGCGACGCGCACCGGCCGTGTCCTCGCCAGGAGAAGTGCACATACTGGGCCCGAGCGCTCCGCCTACATACTTCGGTGACCGATGGCGGAGTAAACAGTCCGCAGACATCCTGCGGAGTTCAAGTCACGACGCCCGAGCAGCGCGCGTAACGGCTGTCCTGCGCCGACGTGCCGTGCTGGTGCCCCAATGGCCCCCCCGAACGTCGCGTGTCGGAAGCAGTGTGGGCGGCGTGGGCGGAGAGGGCAGTGGGTGCCAAGCAGGTGTCGGGGCGGGCGGTGGGTGGGAGAGCAGGGTGGTGGGGCGGGGCGTGGGTCGGAGAGGGCAGGTGGGGGTGGGCGAGAGGGCAAGTGGTGGTGCGGCCCGTGGGGAGAGGGCAAGTGGGTGGTGGGGCGGGCGTGTGGCGGTGAGGCAGTGGTGTGGCGCGGTGCGGAGAGTCGGGTGGTGGTGGCTGGGCCGGACGCCAGAGGTCGCGACCGGAGAGAGACAGGTCTGGGCCGGCCGGAGCACTGGGGAGGACGGAGGCGGGTGGGCGTCGCTGGGCTGGGGCGGATGCGAGGCGCGGGACGGGCTGCCGGGCGGGCGCGGGCGCTGACCGCGGGCCTCCTGCCCCGCCCAGGACGGGCAGTCGCGGACGGTGCGGCAGTTCCAGTTCACGGACTGGCCGGAGCAGGGCGTGCCCAAGTCGGGCGAGGGCTTCATCGACTTCATCGGCCAGGTGCACAAGACCAAGGAGCAGTTCGGCCAGGACGGCCCCATCTCTGTCCACTGCAGGTGCGCAGGGGAAACTGAGGCACCGTGGGGCCGGCCCCAGGGTCTGGGCAGTTGGTTGGGTCGGGGCTCCGGGCACCCGCCCCTGACCCGCCGTCCCCGTCCCGACAGCGCGGGCGTGGGCAGGACGGGCGTGTTCGTCACGCTGAGCATCGTGCTCGAGCGCATGCGGTACGAGGGCGTGGTGGACGTCTTCCAGACCGTGAAGGTGCTGCGCACCCAGCGGCCGGCCATGGTGCAGACGGAGGTACGGCCCCGCGAGCCTCAGTTTCCCCCTCTGCGAGGTGGGCGCGGCCACCCGGGACCCTTGGGTCGTTGTGGGTGGACGGGCCACAGACGCCTCGCGCCCTGGGCCAGGAGGGGCGAGCCCGCTCTGTTGTCGCGGCGACGGACGGAAGCCCAGCGCTGGGGTGTCCCTTGCAGCTGGCAGACAGGGCCGGGTCCTGGCGGGGCCAGGGCCAGAGCCAAATTGTGACTCGGCCTGGACCCTGCCCCGAGACCACGGATTCTGAAGTCCAGCCACTGTACAGACGGGGAAACTGAGGCCCAGAGCTGGAGTCCGGGCGCCTAGAGCAATTCCGGAGGCAGGACTTGCTCTATGACACGAGCAGGGACTCCAGGCGGGCGGGGAGGGGTGGCACTGCTCGCTGCCTCTGGGGACCCTCCCCGCAGGGAGGGGTCCAGGGGCGGAAGGGGTCTTCTGCCCCTAGAGAGGCGCGTTCCCGGGGGCAGTGGGGAGCCCCGGGAGGCGTTAGAGCTGGGCAGGACTGACGGGCACGCCTCCCCCGCTCCCTCCCGCAGGACGAGTACCAGTTCTGCTACCAGGCGGCGCTGGAATACCTTGGAAGCTTTGACCACTATGCAACCTAAAGCCATGGCCCTCCCCGGCCGACACCGCTGGCCTTGGACGCCTCTGCCCCTCCCGGGCGGACCCCCGGAGGCCTGGAACCCCGGCGGGCAGGGCAGGAAGAGGAGGAGGCGGCGGCTGCGTTTGGAGCCGTCTCCGGGACGACGCAGCCCCCCGAGCCCCCGCACGGCCCGGCCGCCTCCCTGGCCCCGGCCGCCTGCCTTCAAATACTTGGCACATTCCTCATTTCCTTCCGATTCCAAAACGAGAGATTCCGGGGTGGGGGGTGGGGGGATGGTGAGCAAACAGGGGCGCGCCCCAGCAGCAGAGGGGGGGCGGGGCGCGGACTGTGGACTTGACCCCTGGTCCTCCCCGGGGACCCCGCCCTGCCCCACAGCCTGGAGGCCAGGGCTGGAGGCCGGGGCTGGAGGCCAGGTCCCAGCTTTCTTTTAAAACTCTCCATGTAACTGTACCCCGCGACTTTTTTTTTTAAATAGCATATTTTTTTTTCCATTTTTTTTTTTTTAAAGCAGCAGCAAACACAAGACTTGCCAGTCACTGAATTTACAAGGAACAGCTTTGCTGCTGCTTCGTGTTCTGTTGAGAGACGGTCTGTTTCTCCCGGTAGGACACGGCCCTGTCCGTCACGGCCCGCGGCTGTCCCAGCTTTTTCTTTTCGTCCCAACATCAGAAGTCGTGCCCAGCTCACGCTAAGGATGTCCTTTTGTGCCTGTTTTTTTTTTCTTCTTCTTCTTCTTCTCTCCTTTCATTTTTTCTGAATTAAATGTCCAGACATATCAAGGATGGTTCCGAGGGTGGGGCCGTGGGGCCTCGGACCCCCTGCCCCGCAGCCCCGGTGACAGGCCGGCGTGGGGGAGCGCGGCCGTGGGCGCCCCGCACCAGGGACCCTTTCTCCCTGGGACTATGGGGCGATTTGGGGGACCCCCCCTCCCCACCCTGAGCAAGTGAGTTTTTTTTTTCTTTGTACGAGAGCAGATCTGCGGTTCCTTTCAACACTTTACTCAAGAGGAAGCAGCTGGGTGGTTTTCCCACCTCTGTGTATGTAGATATATCGACTTTGTATTAAAGGAAGATCGTCCGACCCCATGGTGGAGTCTCTGTGGTGGCCCTGCCTGTCCCCCGTCTCGTCCCTGGGGTCAGGGTGGGACGGGAGCTGGTGTTGGCCGAGTCAGCCCAGAGAGGTGGCGGTGCTTGTCCGAGATCACACAGCAGCTGGCCAGGCGCTCTGAGAAAGGAAACTGAGGCACAGGATGGGGGGCAGGCACCGACCCACAGTGACACCATAACCTTGACCTGGAGCTGGGACTCATACCCTGGCCCGTCACAGCCACCTGGCCTGTCAAAACCACACTGTGTCCCCAACGGAACTGACTCCGTGCAGGGAAAGAGCAGGCCAGGGCCGCCGTTTTGTCCCCACTCTCAGTGGGTGGACCCACGCTGTGAGCCTGAGTCACACCCTGGGGGACGGAGGGACCATTGTGTGTCTACCCTTGCCTGGATCCCATGGCCCTGCGACATCCGGGCCAGAGATGAGATAAAAGACCCCCCCCCCAAGACCTCAGGGAAGGGGCCCAGGCCAGGACAGAATAGAGTTACCCCTTTTAGAAACCAGCATACCAAGAAGTCAAAACATAAATACAGACGACATGACTAACACTATTAATAAACTTAGTCAAATAGGTTTATCAAACCCTATATACGCCCCAGCCCCCAAGTTCTCAAACACATGGAACATTTATAAAAATCAGCAGTGAGACCTTCACAAATTCTAAGAATCAGTTATTAAGATATCTTGATCTTGGCTCAGATGGGGTAGATTGGCCCCTCCCGGGAAGGCCTACAATGGGAAATTTTAAAACACATTTCTAAATAAGGCATGAGTTAAGAAATCAACGTGAATGTTACAAGGTTTTTAAAATTCAACAGTTTGCACCGTATATTATGTCATGAAAGCTGCAGCCAGGGTAGTACTCAGAAAAATCCATAGCCTTGAATACATTCCTAACAAGAAAATTTTAAATATATGCACCATACTTTCAATTCAAATATCTCGGAAAAGATTAGAATGAACCCGAATGGAAAGAAAATAAAGATACAAGTCGAAATAATTGGGCATCTTTGGCATGATGCTTTTGTAGTGTTTTCTCTTTGAAAACACTAACAGTAGATAAATCTTAGGCAAGTACAATCAAGAAAAGAGAAAGTACGAATAACGTCAGCAAAGTGGGATAAGACACATTGTAAGGGGAGGATTTGTTCTTTTTAATAAGATGAGTACGGGGGAGTCAGGAAGGAACCTGAAGACAGAGGGACAGTGGCAGTGTTGGCAAAGCTGACATGGGAAAAGTCCCTCACTGTCCCTCTGTGAGGTAGTGGGAAGGGCAGACAGTAAAGAGAAAAATAAAAAGAGAATAATCATGCAAGACAACATTTAGTAGCCTCTGAGTTCTGAATTCAAGAAGTAGGGGAGAAGGAAGCTCTTCTTAGTGACAAATTGTGGGACAGAAAAGACAAGCCTAGTCCTACTTGAATCATCCAAGACTTTACCAACACAGGGGACACTGTCCGGAGAACTCCTATTCAATCCTCAAGGCCCAATACTAAAAGCCCCCTCTAAGAAGCTATCCCTTCTTTTCCCTTCTCTGGGCTGCCTCAGCCTCCTGTCCATCACTGTAGCCAATCCTCAAGTCCATTGAGGCTGAATGTTTCTGAATAGTACCCAGCTTGCCTTCCTTGCTGAGAATGAGTCAAAAAGAACCTTTTTGGGAAAGGCAGTATGCGTGTGTGACCTTCAGCCCTTGGCATGCTGGTGGCTGTATGGCAGGGGTAGGTGATGGCACACAACTTCCTGGAGGGAGGAACAACTAAGGAAATGCCCTAACCCACAGATGTCACCAAGACTGAGCCTTTCCAGCTGCCTTGGTCCTACCACAGGTGCTATAATACCCATCCCCATTTATTGAGCGCTTACTGTATGTATCCATCCCCATTTATTGAGCGCTTACTGCAAATGCAGTCTTACTGTGCATTACTTGCTGGGGCATTCCTTGTAGCAATGCACCATTGGACAGATGAGAAAACTGCCTAGGTTACAGAGTGAAACCATCTCTCAAAGAAATAAAAAATTGGAAGCAACTTAAATATCCACCAGGACAATGTATAAAGAACTCCGACACGGGCACACAATGAAATACTATACTGGAATGACGATGAAGCCATTAGAACTATGCACCATGACATGACTGAATCTCAGAAAAGTGTCATTCCATCACAGAACACTTTAAAACATAGAGGGAAAATGCATATTGGGGACAAACAGCAAATATATAAAAACTCATCTGCATGGCAGTATTACCCAAAGTGATCTATGATTCAACGCAATCTCTTATCAAAATCCCAAAGACATTGTCTGAAGAAATGGAAAAGCCAATCCTCAAATTGTTATGGAATAGCAAAGGAACGCAGCTCAACAAAATCACCGTGAAAAGGAACAATACATTTGGAGGACTCGTCCCCATTTCAAACTTAGTACAAAACTACTAACCTCGGATAGGTAGATCAGTGGAATAGAATTGAGAACCCAGAAATACACCCATACATGTATGGCTAATGAATTCTTTAAATCAACACATCATACATGTACAGATTTTCAGAGGATGTGAAAATTTGATATATTGATACAATCAAATCTAGATAATTGGAATATCACCCTAAATTTTTTTTTTTTTTTTTGAGACAGAGTCTTGCTTTGTTGTCCAGGCTAGAGTGAGTGCCGTGGCATCAGCCTAGCTCACAGCAACCTCAAACTCCTGGTCTCAAGCAATCCTCCTGCCTCAGCCTCCCGAGTAGCTGGGACTACAGGCATGCGCCACCATGCCCGGATAATTTTTTCTATATATATTAGTTGGCCAATTAATTTCTTTCTATTTATAGTAGAGAAGGGGTCTCGATCTTGCTCAGGCTGATCTTGAACGCCTGACCTCGAGCGATCCTCCCGCCTCGGCCTCCCAGAGTGCTAGGATTACAGGCCTGAGCCACCGCACCTGGCCCACCCTAAATATTTTTTATGCTAGGAACAAATTATTCTCTTCTAGCTATTTTGAAATGTATAATAGATTATCATAAAGTAATAGTTAATCAATAATTAATAGTCACCTTATTTATCTATCAAGCACAAGGTCTTATTTCTTTCATCTAAGTGTTTTGTTCATTTGTTTTGAGACAGGGTCTCACTATATTGCCAACGTTGGCCTCAAGCAATCCTCCCACCTCAGTCCTTTGCATAGCTGGGACCACAGGCACAAACCCCGACCCCTGCTCACCGATTTCTGACAAGAGTGCCAGACCATCCAACGAGGAAAAAATAATCTTTTTAACAAGTAGCACTGGGACAACTGGATATCCACACACTGGATCCCTACCTCACACCATATACAAAAAATAACTCAAAAATAGATCAAGGACCTAAATATGAAAGCTAAAACTGTAAAACTCTTAGGAAAAACTCATCTTAAACCAAAATCAGGATAATTGCTCCTTCTGGGCAGTAGGAAGGGTATGAATTCAGCAAAGGTACACAGGTAAATTCAACTACGTGTAGTGTTTTGTTTTTGAAATTGGGTATTATGTGGTATTCATTTTTCGTATATCAAGGATAAAAAACAAACCTATCAATGAAAAAAAAAGAAGAAACTTCACCCTAAAACATTTGATTTCAAAAAACTACTCAAAACTACTCAGCAAACCAGGAATACAAAGGAATCTCTGTAACTCGATAGATAATGAACTTAACAATACTGAAACTTCAGAATGGAATTTGGCAAACTTTTTCTACAAAGAACCAGGTAGTCAATATTTTAGGCTTCACGGGCCAGAAAGTCTCTGTTGCAGCTGGTCACCTCTGCTATTACAGCACAAAAGCAGCCACAGACAAAAACGAATGAGCATGACTGTGTTCCAATAAAACTTTATTTACAAAACAGGTGGTAGGCAGGACTGGGCTCACGGTCTACCATCAGCCAATCCCTGATTTAAGAACATGTCCACTAAATTAAAAAAATGACACAAGGAATGTCCATTCTCATAAAAGCCATTTCATGCAATACTAGAAATGCTAGCCAATGCAATAAGGCAAGGACAAGAAATGAGGTACACATATGGAAAATTTTTATTATCATGAAAGATGTGGTTGCCTATCTAGACAACTCAACAGAATCACCTTAAATTGTATTAGAGGTAATAAGAAAAATCCAAGAAAATGCAAATTACAAAGCCACCATAAAAAGTCAGTGGCATCTTGCTGGCAGTGCTTCAACTCAGCCACAGAGAGGTTTGATGTCATCATTAATCAAACACAGACCAGAAGCAATTGAATTCTCTACACAAAGGAGAGGGGTCTAACATTCACCTTGCATTTGAACTTGACTCTCATTCTTTGTCTTGGCAAAGTCAGGCAGAGTTAGTTGACTTTTCTTTATGCACGGCCAGCATAAAGAAAATGGTTTGCAGCTATTTGTTTAAAAGAAAGGATTTTTAAAGTCATTTTTTGTATCGCTAGGATATGCACAAGTAATGTTTTAGAAAAGGAAGCAAGCAAACAAAGAAAGGAAACATTATTAAGAATACTAATCGGCCAGGTGAGGTGCCTCATGCCTATAATCCCAGCACACTCAGAGACCGAGGCAGGAGGATCACTTAAGGTCAGGAGTTTGAGACCAGCCTGAGCAAGAGCAAAACCCCGTCTCTACAAAAAATAGAAAGAAATTAACCAGATGTGGTGGCGCGTGCCTGTAGTCCCAGCTACTCGGGAGGCTGAGGCAGGAGGATCGCTTGAGTCCAGGAGTTGGAGGTTGCTGTGAGCTAGGCTGACACCACAGCACTCACTCTAGCCCGGGCAACAGAGTGAGACTCTGTCTCGAAAAAAATAAAACAAAATATACTAACTTAGCATGCCAGCTGAGAAAGAATGCAAGGGACTCTGTAGCCCACAGGCCAAGCTGCACCAGATACGACAGAGTCCGGAAATTGACCCAGAGCAACCCGCATGCTCAGTTAAGACTCAGGTCACATGACTCCCGACTGCCCAA